GTTTTTATAATTTTTTACAATTAAGGCACAAAACTCTATTAACCCTTTACATTCCCCACTGGTTTTTATCTGGGAATCAAATCTTTGATTCATCTAAAACTCATAACTTGAGTTGCCCGGGGGTGTGAGAGGCTCACTGTTAGATCTCAACACCATTAACTTAATCGTCCGGATTCTTTGTTGTATATACGTAGTCAAACAGTTTATTATACAAGGTCCAATGAGCAGGATCAGAAGAAATATGATCACAGGCCCAATCAGAGCAGTTATCAGATATTTATCCAGGGGGATATTGAAAATAACCCCCCGTTATTACCTTGACGAATATCTTGAGCTAATTCTTTTAGTATGTTTATTTGATTCTGTATCTGATGGCTGTTATCTGGTAAGTTAAAACAGCACATGTTTCCTATTTTTTCACATCCTTGATGGTGAAACAATAGTAAGTAATCTATAGCAGCCCGATTGTCTAATATAGCTTGTCTATGCTCCTTTTGTTCTGCATTGAGTAGGGCGATGGCCGTTGAAGTGGCATTAAGAGCTTTGGCCACATTACAATCTAATTGTTTCACATGTTTTTCTGCTATTTCACCAAAGTATAGGTTTCCAACAACACTGATTATCATAGCATAGGCTTCTGCATCAGACAGGAAAGTGCCTTTATCATTACAGTCAGGAGGGAGAGGGATGTTAGAAACTTCTCTCCTCTTGCGGGGTGATGATGTTTTTGAATGGGGTAGCATCAAATCATCTTGAGACAGAACAATCACGGTCAGCCTGCTTAAACAACAGGAGACTCCATCCACATAAGCTGGCATATAGTTAAAAGTATGTCCATTGCATGTGAAAAACCATCCAGTGGGTAATAAGATATTACCAGTTATATGTGGATACTTTATAAGACTAGAACAATTTAGAAACCCTGACAATTGATGACAACTTTTTTCAGTACAGTTTACAAATTACACACAAGTTTTATTGAAAGTAACTACAGTCTTTGGGGTAACAAAATGCAGGGCACCAGGTGGTACATCACGTGAGACAGGTCGCCAATTAGCCAAGTCATAATATGGAGCAGGATTAGAAATGTGTTTTAAAAAGGTTAAATTTTTAATATCTTCTGCAGGCTTACACACTGGTCTTAGGCATGAACCCAGAACATATTGAAGACTTAAGGTTTGTTTCAAGCAGAAAGTTGACAAATTAAGAGTGTTTGCCATCTTTACCCACATGTTATCATGGGAATTAATTACAGACACAGCAGGTATGGCTGACAGCGCATGAAACTCAGAGATCACATAATGCATAATAAGAACTGAAAAGAAAGTTAGGCCAGGCCTGTATCCTGGCGTACTAATTTGACCTTGAGCGGATCGGGCGTCTTTTTGATTGATCATCTTGTGGAGTTGTCTACTGTAGCCGGCTTAATGTGGGTGTGATGAATCCAGTGTCTCTTTTCAGCTACTTTGACTGAGGTGGGCGTGCTCAGGATGACAGGATAAGGTCCTACCGAGCAAGGTCCCAATGTGGATGGATCCTGCTTTTTTATCCACACCAGAGAGCCAGGTTCTGCAGCCAGTGGACTGTCAAGTTGTTCTGGTCTTGAATGTTGACGGCGGAAGAGGGAGTATGTAGCCTGTAGAGTAGACTGCAGAGCCTGTAAGGACTTAACAAGGTCTTGATTAGAAATGGATGCCAGGATTTCCTCCCCCAGTTTGGGGAATAAGGGAGGTGCCTGATCATACATAGATTTAAAGGGAGTGATCCCGTGTACATAGGGAGTACAGCGGGCTCGTAATAAAGCAAAAGGAAGGAGACTCACCCAGTTTTTGCCAGTCTCCAACCTTAGTTTTGAAATGGTTTCTTTTAGAGTATGATTTATTCTTTTTACCTGACCTGAACTCTGAGGCCTATATGCACAATGTAGCTTTCATTCTAATTTTAGGGCCTGGGACAGACTTTTAGTAACCTGGGCTATAAAAGCCGGACCATTGTCAGACCCCATAGTAATGGGCAGACCAAATCTGGGAATAATCTCTGTCAATAGCTTCTTTGTCACTATCAGAGCTAACTCTGATCGGGTGACATAAGCCTCTGTCCATCCAGTAAAGGTATCCACTAAAACAAGGAGGTAGCGATATCCTCCTTTTCCTGGACCCATTTCAGTGAAATCAATTTCCCAGTGTTTCCCAGGAGACATACCTCGAGCGCACTATCCAGGTTTAGAAGTAATCTTGCTGGGGTTTACCTGGGCACAGCGGCGACACCTTCGGCTGGTTTCCTTAGTCATTTGATTCAGTTTGGGTATGAAGTAGGATTGCTGCAACAATTCAGTCAATTTATTTCCTCTCAAGTGAGTCCCTTGGTATATCTGCTGAATAAGCTCCCGGCCTAGTGCTTCAGGAAGGAGAATCCTGCTGTCTG